AAAATGATGTTTTCTCCGTTAGAGACATGGTGAAATATGCAAAGAATGAAATTAATATTCAGGAGTTATTAAATTTACATTACTATAATAATACATATAATTATAGTAATTCAATTATTAGTAAAATCATTAAAATTGAAGAAAATTTTTATTGCTCTCTTAACAGCGACGATCATATTTTCCAGATTGCAGTTACAGCCCTCACATCAATTCTGGAATTTTAAGTATCTAGAAACAACAAAATTACTAGAAACTTTTTGCATTTTCAATATTTTTTTTCTTTTAAATGTCTATATTTCCATGAATGTTTAAGATAGGCTTACGAAATTTTATGCTGTTATTGCATATCATAACAAAAGTAATCGATGCAAGTTGCAAGCTTATTGCATAGTGTGTTAAAAAACATTATTTTTCGATTGCAATTTATTGTCATTCCCTCAAACCTTTGAAAGCTTTAAACTTTATTAATATGTATGAGAAATCGCATGAACTAAACACATCTAAAGTTATTAAATAATTTTCTAAGTATTATTTGAAAAATATTAAAAAATCTGTTTACATAGAAGTGTTTCTGTTATTTTGTCCAACCTTCATGGCAAGTTGTGCCATAAATTAAAATTAGCAAGAATTAGCATTATCAAAAAGATTTGGAGGTTAAGCAAGAATTGTTTTAAAAGGAAAAATCATTTCCAACAATAAAATTAACACTATTAGAAATGAACAAATTAAGCAATAAATAATTCAGCAAATTAAACACAAAAGGAAGCTTGTATCAATGATTAAAAGTACTGAAAAAAAAAGAATGAAGTTAACATAATTTTCTTTGTAAAGTAGTTGCTTGCTTTTTCTCATATCCTCATTCTCTGTTTGAACGTATTGAATTGTTAAAATAATTGAATCTAATTTATGTGTAAAGTATAGTGATCATGTTTATTTAACATAGTAAATATAATTGTTGCATTATAGCGCTATAAGTTCAGCTGTTTTTACAAAACTGCTGTAGCATATCTGAAATATAGATCTATATTTAAAAGCCAATTAAGAAATTCATACTGCCAGTGCTCCACCTAACAATCAATTGTCGAACCGAGAACTAATGTTTGTGTATCATATTTGGTATATTATAGAGTTAAAGCAACAATATATATATACATATAGCATAATAAATAAATACAAAAAGAAAAAAACAAAGAAAATTGAGAAAAACAATAAGTTTTATTTACTGTGCATAAGCTGCAAGCAAATAGAACTGATGAAATAAGTTCAAAAAGTAGAGAAAAAATGTAAAAAATTACAGAACAATGAAAAAAAGAAAAATAGTAATAGAAATCTGAAAAAAAATTATAAAAATCCGCAAAAAATTATAAAATCTTTTCTAATAATTATATAAAATAAAATATAATCTTTTAATTTCCGGATTTTTTATTAATTTTCCCCCTTTTTTCTTTGTTCTGTGATATTTTCCATGTTTTCTCTACTTTTGAATATATATTTACGCAAATAGTCTATACATTTGTAAAAATGTTATAAAATATATCACGAAAGAAAAAAACTTACACATCAATTAAAACAGAATTACATAGTTTTAATTTATTTGAATGCTCAAAAAATTAAATATTTTACTTCAAGTAGACTAAAAAAAAAAGCAAGCTAGAAAATTTTTATTTTAGCTACTTTTTATTAAATAATTAAAATTTTTCTTATCAAGTAAAACTAAAATTAATTAATTACATTTAATGAATGGATTAGTAATTGAAAAAACTGTATTAGCATCAAGTGTCACACCCACTACAAGTTTAAAAACAAAATGTATTTGAACACTTGAGTGGATGAAAAAAAAGTATTTTATCAATGATTGAAAATTTGAACAAAATAGAAGGAGAGTGTGAACTCTAATAATAGGAATTGAATAAAAACTAAATCATAAAAGAA